AAACCCATGTGAACATGGGGAGAATATAAAAACTCCACATAGACAGCACCCCAGCAGTAGTGCTTACCACAGCACCACCATACCACCCCTCAAAAGACTTTACTTATTTACAGTATATACTGTATAGTGTATGATGGTTCTCAAAATTAACAAAATTGTGTAAATATTCTAGCCTTACTTTACTGTCATGTCTATACATTTAACAGTACCAAACGTACGATGAACTGGTCTAAGTTGTCCGGGTTAAGTTTTGACCCCCTGAATACTAAAAGCTCTCTTCCTTTCTGACAGTAGAAATATCCTGGCTAGGGGTCTATAAATAACCGATCATAACCTTAATCAGAACACCATCAGGACTCAGCAACATATTATTCTTAAGCAATGTATTAGTCTAAAATACTTAGTGGACTAGGATGTCTAAGCAACATATTAGTCTTAGACATCCTAGTACCCTGAGTATTTAAGTGCCAGTTTCAATAAAATTACACAACATTGATGGAGCTTTTTGTATTATCTAGAGCACGTTGTTGAATTCTTCATTGATAAAAATCTACGTAAACATTTTGGACAGTCACTATCTCTGCAATATTATTTTTTGTAGTGGGTACTGTAGCTGCGTCAGCATTTGTAGGCTGCAAAGGAACAAGTAAAGGTGTATTCCATGCTGAAAACAGAGAACCCTAAGAAGGCTCCACAGCTGAAACATTGTGTTTCTTTTCTTCTCTTTTCAGCGTGGAATATTATTTTTGTCTTTTTTTCTTAATTGACACAATTTTCCTTTAAGCAATTCACTTAAATTATTTGAAAAATCTGAGGGAATCTGAGAGCTTCAATATTACAATACACTATTATTAGTATTACACTAGTATAACACTAGTATTACAATACACTAGGCATAGAAAAACATCAATGTACACCGCTACTGACATACAACAAAATGTAAAAAAAAACAGCTGCAATAATTTATCAAAATGTTATATTCCAGCACAAAGACCTATTGAATATTTTATATTTCTTTCTGAGATGTGATTATGATTGCTTGGAAAAGTCATTTGTATCCAGTCTTTTTTCCAACCAAACTACAATATTTTAACTGCATGACAGACAGAAGGGCTGAGTTCCAAAGCTGTAGTGGACCTGGTCTGGAAGTGTCTTGTGTGAGCTGACCTGAATAGAAGGTAGTTAGTCTTTCCTCTGACGGTCAGATCCATCAGGCACTGTGACAATGTTTCCTCAATGATGGACGGTGTTCCCTGAAAAGTACTGTATATTCTTAGATCAGAATTAATGAAAACCATTTCACACTGGCCAGGATTAATCAATTTTTATCAGAAAGATTAATGTGAAGGTGGGATTGTATTTTCTCATTGGGAAGAGTTTGATAGACTTCTTTTCTGCTTGTCTTAGTCATCTGAGCCCCATGCGCTGTTGAGCTCTGATTGTGGTCCACTAAATATGAGGCTAGTTTCTTCAAGGTCATGTATAAACAAAAAATCAAACTTTCAATGCAGCAAAATATCAAATGCAGTAAAAAATATTATGAATCACATGGACCTCACTTATTCTACAGTCCTTGGAATGTGAGCAGCTCCACAGAGTGCAGGGTATAGATGCACAGATCTAGTGAAGAGATATTAGAATATTAGCTGACACTAAAATTCATTTATTAGGCAAAATGACATGTCTACTTAAGTAATTTCTAATAAAGTCTGCATTGGGAAAAGACGATTAATCCAAGGCCCGTAATGCATAAGACTGGACATTCCATCCTTATTTAACAACAGAATTGCAGTAATACTGTATGTACTGTGTTGGTATTTTTAATGCTAAAATCATATGGGTAAGACCTCAAATAGAATGCTGTACTGAATTCTGCTCACCTCATCACAAGAAAGATATCACTGTGTAGAAAAGGGTTTGCAGAAAAGTAACTGCAATAACACTTGGTTTCAAAGGAATGCCATACAAAGAGGACTTAAAGGAATTGTCCCTCTTTAGTCTTTCACAAAAGAGATTATGAGGGGATTAATTCAAGTATTAAAATCCTCAAAGGTGCCAACAAAGTCAAGCCATGGGATTTTGTGAGATTCAAAGTTAAAGCAAAGTGCAGAGGTCACAAGAGGAAATTCAGAGCAGGTACATTCTGGTTGTAGGGATGTGGAACAAACCTCTTAGACAATTTAGTACAGAGGGACATGAGAAAGGTTACAAGCAAAAGGAAGCTTATTGATCCAAGGTTCTCTTCTAACCACTTCTTGAAGGAATATAGAGATTTAACAAAATGACTGAGCAGTTTGTTCCAGACACTCACAACCCTTTGTGTAAAGAATTGCCTCCCACTTTCAGTAAAACTGTATGCCCTGTATGCCCTAGGGTAATTCTTTCACTGTTTATCCTCATTTAGTGCATTAGTGTGTTGAAGATCATATGTGGGATGGCATTAGCTCATCGAGACCAAACAAAGAATATGAAATTCCTGCTCTGATATGTATCTTTACTTGTGCTAAAGTATCCCTCTTGTAATTTATAGTGCACTGGCATTCTTTAAATGATCCCCACCCTTAAGATGACCCTGTCTAACCTAGTTCTACAACTTAGATTCTGAGTGCTGTTTAGAAGTTACATGATAACTTTTATTTCAATTTCCATACGCTACAAAACAGAAGCCTTATGAAATTAAACTAGCAATGAAGCAGGTGGTCCCAATGAAAAATGTAATGACAATGGGTCTTTCACTAGAGGTTATAAAATACAGCCTCAAAAATGTGTGTAAATATATTTTTTTCTGGTAAACACTGTCATCTGTATTCATTGATTGGTTTGTTTGAAAGGCGTGCATTTAAACCCATGTGTAGCAGGATCCCCAACTTGCACACTTGAATAGTTCAATACCTTACAACATTATACAGTAGTTACAGTACAAGTCACTTTGTTTGCGTGCAATGATTTAACAGATTTCACAATGCTCTTTTTTCATGTACTGTACATCTACCTCTTCCACTTTTCCGGTCTTTCCAGACCTATTGTATGTGTTTCCACTAATGTTTCTTCCCTGCCATTCTCTGATTCCAGTGTCAACTTACCTGTACACTATGCAGTAGCTTCTTTCTGTTGCATTTTGTTGCTTATATTCCTGGCATTTAGATTTAGGCACTTAATCACCTTTTGACCTTTTAGCTTTCCCTGAGGTATTTCTTTTTTTCTAATCCCTGTGTATCCCTGGCAGATTTTCCATGGATTTTGCAAGAGATACACCAGCAGTAGAGTAATTAATAAAATAATCAATACAACTGCATTTATTATAATTCGTTAAGTGAAATCACACAATGCATTCTTCTGCTCAGGTTCTGTTAAAGGGAAAGTTAGGGTTTGGAACCAGAAAATTATAAATATAGAACTTAAATAATTCATATACTTCACTGTGCACTGTCATCACATCATTGAAATTGCGTACAATCCTATACTTTGTTGTTGCTTCAGCTGTACTGTTCACTGCAATGTGGCACTATACATTAGCTTGCACACATCAATTTTCTAAGTTACAGTATTTTTAACACAAAGGGTAGCATACAGTTGCCTGGATGTTTTTTTAATTATTCATCTTAGCTTTACATTAGCAAAGTATTCAAATTTTACAAGACAAAAACAGCTTCTAACAACGGAGAACAAGCGACTCTATTAATTAATGAGTTGACGTACTGCTTATTAATCGCAGTCCCAATAAAAGTCATGGAAAACTAGACAAGATAGCAAGTGCAAATACTGTACTTGTTTTGCTTGCTATAATTGTGTGATCTGCTACTGAAGATATAGTATACTGGGTTTAGTTTTTACACTAGCATTCTTACTAGAATGCTTTCTAGTGTTTCCAGATACGTACTAGATCTGCTTTCAGTAAAAAATCTCCTTCTGTAGATAATCAAGCTAGAAACAGCTTTTCTTCAGTTTATTTGTGGTTAAAGTATCTGGGAAATCTATATACATCAGTTTTGAGTTTCAATCATATTTCCCCTCTCCCAGAGGATTACTATTCCAATATAGGAATGGAGAGGGCAAGAAAATATGATTTCAAACATTTCAAATGAGACAGATACAGAAACACACAACAGCATCAAAGCAACCCTGAAAGAAAAAGTGTAGTAACACACACTGACATGTAAATAATTTACAGTAGTTAAAAAAATATTCTTGCTCCTTTTGCTTTAGGCATTCATTTTTTTTTCTACAAAGAACCTTTTCATAATCATGGTATTCATAGTATGGGCTCCATACTCAAAAATGAAAAGGGGACAGATTGTTGTCTTTATATGGAATGAAGTTCCCAAAAAACACAGCACAAGTAAAACAAAATCTGTCATTGCAGCCCTATGCTTCAGATGTGGTGGGCATGCGATGGATTGTGGCTCACTAATAACAAAGTATTGATCAAATAAAATCAAGGAGGGAAGTGCAGTGTTTAAAGGCAGAGGTGCCGAGCCCCAGATTTCCAGCTCTGTTTCAAGTTATTTACATCTGTGCATCTGTGTTCTGAAGTGAGCTGTCAATGATCATTCTTATTTAAGTGTCCCCCTTGCTCTCAGATCTTGATGTTAGCACAACACTCTTACAAGAAATTGAAAGGGCAGAGAGCTTGAATGCCTTGAAAAAAAGCCTCGCTTCTTGAGGAAGGCTTTTTCCTATTAGTATTATTCTTATTGTGTGGGTTAATGTACAAACGTCTCTGGTTCCTAGTTGCATAATAATCAATATGTAGCTGGATTGTACTGCTGTACTGATTCATTTGGATGTATTTTAATTGCAATTCCTAGGCATCACAGAAAATTTTAAATCACCTATTTGTCACATTTTGTATAGTGGTAATTTAATGTGGTTGCAGTATGTAAAAAGAATAAGAGAGAAAGAAAGAAGACAAGAAAGAGAGAAAGAAAAACTTAAGGCAAAGTCCTCAGACTGCAACACTGCTTAATAGAACTGTGATAGCAAGATTGGCATTTTCTTACCTTCTCCAGATCATCAGACCAACGCCCATGGACAGCAGCATGATAAGCGCAGCTACAGACACCACCACAATGATGACTACAGGGTTCTGTTCACTGGAGGCCAGAGCCACTGCACACAGAAAGCAAAACACATTCACACTGCTGTCCATCTCAAGTGCGTACCACATATAACTCTGCAAGCTTTTGATGCTTATTAAAACCAGAACTGTGTGCTTTAAAATGTGTATTCTGCTGGCAAATCAGTTACCATTGACTGACTTCACAGAACTCAATGTACTGACAAAACACTGCTGTGCTCACTGATTTCAGTGCTGAAGCAGGTAACCTGTCTTGTCTCGTACAGTAAACAACGGAGTCAGTACAGACAGCATTTCTATCTAAATAAACCAAAAGTGTGTATTGATTATATGTTTCCTACAGCACACATATACAATATTAAAGGTGCTATACGATTATTTTGCGTCTTCAAAGATGTTTTGTTAGAAAATCATTTGATCTTGCTTGCTCTTAATTAGGTCCCTGTGATTCAATACTGTACGCAAACAGGTGCAGATTAATAATTACAGTTTTTAAAGTCAGGTACTCTACAGAGGTAGTGCGTGTTGATGGCTGGTACAAAATTATATACAGTCTTTCAACCATGTAACACTGAACTTGAAGAAGAAATCAATAAGAATGACTTATGCTGATCATCACTTTACAAAATAGAAATGTGTTCTCTTGAAATATTTCAAAAGAAGTGATAATAAACGATCCTCTTTCTGAGTTACCATACACAGTCATTTCAACGTAGATCATGTTAGATACGAATGGAGTACAGTACATACAGTATACTGTATGTAGATTAAAGGAAATACATCTACAGTATAGTATTTAGTTACAATACAATTACATGGGAACTTTACTCAGTTATGCATAATACTGAAAAGCATTGATCATGTTAATTCAAGGAACCTCTAAAATGCCAGCAACAATGGAATAATCCACAGACACAAGATGAAATTAAGTTTTAGAGCATTCAGGACCTTAAATGGGACATCTTTCTTTACACAAAGAATTAAGAGTCAGAAACTCCCTAGGCACAATGTGAAAGCGACTAGTGTCAGGTCCTTCAGCCTGAAGTATCATTCGGGTAACAAAAAGATATATAATGGGCTAAATGCCTCCTCTTATTTGAATTGTTTTTCTTTTTAAAGGGCACGAGTCTCTTAATTTTCAACAGGGAAGACATGAAGGGGACCTGACTCAAGTTTTAAAAATTTTGAAAAAAAATCAACAACATGTAGCAGAACAATTAACTGAGGAAGGAACACAAGTGTACACATATTTAAGACTGGACTAACTGCCTAGCCAAGCTTTTTGAAGGTCATTCTCTGAGATTGATCAGAAAATGGCTGGATATTAATGCAGCAAGCATTGGTCAAATATAGATATAAACTGCAAACTCACCCCACCTAAGAAAGAGAAAAAAGAACTGTTTGACATGCAATTTTACGTGCAGTAAATCAAATGCATCAGGTGGTCACAGAAGGTTTCACTGATGAGGTGTTATTAGATCTGAAGCAGTTCTTTCTTTCTGATTTCCTGGAATTTTTAAATAAAAAAATAAGTTGTCTTTGAGAAAAATAAGAATTTTAAGAATGTATTTCAGTTCATTTTTACTAATCATATCATCATTAATTCTTCAACAGCTGCATTCTGTCTGCCAAAAAGCTTCTACTAAAACGAATGAGTAGAAAAGACAGAAAAAAGAATTCTAGTTTTTTGAAAATAATAATTTATACAATGATGTTGTATTCATCCTATCTCCATGTTCTCTATGCCAAGAGAACTTATAAGCATCTTCAATCTTTAATGTGTAAAAATATATTATTTGGTGTATGTGTACCTGACCAAGTAAGAGAGACAATAAAGTCCAGAACCACTTTACCGAGACCAATTAACATGGAGCATACACTGGTTTAACCTAACTTGGTTAAGCTATTGAAATTTTTTGCGCACTCCAAATAAAAGATGATTGCTCTAGACCTCCATTGCTAACTATTTCAATATGTAGTACTTTAAATTTTAAATTGAATGAATATAGATGTATTCAGACCTAACAGATAACGTATTTATATATATATGCACTGAATTTTGTCATCACCTATAGCCGGAGATGACACCCTTCAGACAGTTTTACTGTAAGCCTGTATGACACTATTAAGCTGCATTGCAAATAAATGTCACTGGTTTTTATTATTAAAATACATTCCCTGCTCCTGAAACTTGGTGTATTTGAGTCTGCTACACTTTTTTATGGAATAATATTGGATTCATTTCATTTTTGAAAATGTCTCCAGTGTGGTAAACTGAGGCAATTTAAAGCCCTGTTAAACTCAATCTTTAAAAGTCATACTCTGGAAGATTTCCTTCAGACTTTTTTTTTGCACAATTTACAACGGCCTGTGAAATGTCACTTTCCTTGATTCTGATTCTAGGCAAAAAATTTGCCATACTGAAACGATTAATAGAAATATATAGGGAAGCTGAATTTAAAGCTGCACAAAGGCTTAAAAAAGATGACATTTAAACTTCCCAACTATTCCAGGGACAGCAAAGTGTCTCTGTATTATAAAAAGAGGTCTCCAGCAGCTGGTGTGAATTATATGCTTCCAGTAGTGGCTCAGCTTCTTATAATAACAAGTTAGACTCAGAAGATTGCAGGGTATAGGTGTATTATGAGGACAGCATGGATAAGTAATCCTATACTGGTGAAAAAAAAACATTTTGAAAAGAAAAATCTCACCAAAGTAAATTCAGGTTTGCATTTGAAGGTCTCCGTGTAATTTTAATATACAATATCTTCAATTAACCCTTAACCTCATAACCAAATGGACTAAGCAGAAGAAAACAAATCCATTTCTTATCATTCCCAACAAAAAAGAGGGTGTGGCAGTTAGATTTTGTCTCCTTTTTCAGTTTTGGAAATGGTAGAAAACACTATTTCGTAACCTTTTTAGAGTTTGAAGGTAAACTTCGGGTGAAGTTAAAATTCTTTAAATATGCATTATTCAATTATTCAATTATAGACTGGAGAGATTTGTGATGTGTTCTCTTATCACTTATTAATGTTAGGTTTGTTCAAATTGAAGGTCTGACAGTCGCACAAGTATCCAGAGCTGAATTCAATTAACAAAGTTCTTGTTCAATACTAAATTTTCACTTCTTGAGTGGTGTTAGAACAGTGCTTGAGCACTGTTTCTTGAGCAGTGCTTGAGCAGTGATTTCCTAGAAATTAAGTTGTGGATCAAAAGATAGCAGCAGCAGTGTCTGACTTAAAATATTAATTTACACCAAGATAAATTGAAATGAGATTATGGGACAATTTAAGAGATAAAGAGCATATGAATAAGTAACTTTTGTAAAAGCAATATCCACATGAGAACAACAAGGGAGCTTCTCACACTATCTCCTAATATTTTGTAAAACCTCTCCACTAAAAAAGGCATCTACTGTAGTAAACAAAGGCTCCTCATCTTATGTCTTCTGAAACAAGAAACATGTTAGTTCATTTGGAACCTGAAGGGTTGTGTAGGTTTGGTACAAAATACCCAGCCATGTTTTTGAAGCTTATACTCTGGGTTCTTTCAAGAAATTGCTGGATGGGATCTTCATAAATTAGTATCTAACAACCAAGCAGGCTAAATGGGCTGAAGGACATCCTCTTGGTTGTATTCTTATGTAACTGAATCTTATGTAATGTGCAAACTATAATGCCTCAAATGTTCCCAATTAATTAAAAACAAACTTTTAAAAATGAGTGGAACTAGATTATTGTCTACTTGAAGCTGTAGCGGATCTGCGGAGACTATAAAAATAGAAATTATAAAACTATAACTATATATTATAAATCCAGCATGTTCAAAATTTCAAGAATCTCACCAACAGCATTGTAGTGCAAAGACAAATTTGAAAATGAGGTAGCACAGCTGGTAATGGCAAAGGAACGTCTACACTATATAAATCTCAATTGTAAAGTGATTGAAAAGAACACTCATCAAGTTTGGAGCGAATTGGTCAAACAGGTTATGCAAAGTAGTTTGTGCAATAGGAAGTGTATCAACAAAAGAGCAAACTGGCAGTCAGCCCGACATGTTGGTTGAAGTGTCACAGAGTGAAAAAATGGGTGTGGGCCAGAAGAGGTCTTGGGCTGTATTGATCTTAAGTTACTATACATTGAATGGCCAGTCACCCTAAATGATGATAGACCTCACGCCTTGTTCCCTGTGCTTCCTTCCACTGATCAAAGGGCCTTTTAGCACCAATGCTGGGCTATTACCACACAGTTCCGAGGTGATGTGGGGTTTAAAGTTCAGAGTTCAGGATTGCAATGCAGGTTTAACTGTGAACGGAAAGGGGCCATTAGAACAGGGTGCAAATATACAATGCATCATTACACCTGGCCATCTGTATATACAGTAGCTAGTTCCTCAAGGAGCCCTGTGCAGTTAGCTCTGTCCACACCGAAGACACACTCAAGACATCAAAGGGACACTTCCACCTTGCTGAGACTGAGTTAAGAGGCCTTCAAAATGCCTCAGTTAAGAGAATTCAAGGAAATATGGAGAAGGATGACTGTGAGACAAAATACAGCATTGGACCCAGACTCTATGAAGAGCAGCTGAGGAAGGCTTTGACATCACGTTCTACCCTGATGTTGGACTCAAAATCAAGAAGAAATCAAGAGATTCAGAGAATCCCTTGCGAAATCAAGGGATTGGTGGAACATGAATGACCACATTGTTTGGCACAGCCCAGACCGAAGAGGTGTCTAAGAATCACCACAGGAAGTACATGGAGAAAATGGCTGCTGGACTGTTCCTCTGGGACATTCGGTTAGGTACAGTAACTCCATGGGTTGTTGTGCTGTTATGATATGTGTGTCCTTTGGAGATATTTGAGTGTTGGGCAGTGTTAATTGTGGTAATTACTAGAGAATAAAAATGGTACTTAAGCAATACCGACTGTCTTATCTGGTCTGTGGATGCACTGGTGGTTCTGGGAGAAAATAAGAACCAATAGAAAAGAAAAAGAACCCTTTATAATTGCTAGGTAGTGAAATCAGCTACAAAGCAAAAACAGTTCCTGCATTTACTGTATGGTTCATCTATCTGTGACATAAGCAAGAAACCCATTTTAACTTTTGACTTGTTTGAAGAGATCATTCTGAAAACCATGAAAATAACCAACAATGAAAGATAACCAAGAAATTTACTGCCTCCAGTTAGTGGCCTTCAATGATTCTAACAAGCAAGGTGACCTACACCAGAATCAGCACCATTAAGATTAGGGGCAAAGGAAGACAAAGAGCATTTGTTTTAGTGAAAGACAACATCATTACCAACACAAATCTCAACCAGACCACGTGATCCTGGATGGAGGTTACCTTCTGTGACCAAACAGGAACAATGAGTATCCATCATAGCCTGGAGTGACCTTTGACTATGCACTCAGATTCAAGGAATATCTAACACAGACATCAACTGGACAGATGCTAAGCCCTGAAATAACCTCATCAACATACTATTAGGGGTGACTGGGGATGTTGGAGACTCTCTGAACGGCTGCACTTTCCCTTGTTTAGTTCACCGCAGACTAATACTCCCTGGAAAGGTAGTACACAAAAACAAGAAAAGAACAGAGAACAGTGAACCGAAGAACAGTGTTGGGTTCCAGTTTAGTAGTGTAACAGACTTACGTTCTCCAAGAGTTTCCACTTCTATGGCAGGACTGTAGGCTCCATAATCCGTGGAGGAGAAGGTTCGGATGTGGAAAACATAAGCTGTCCCAGGCTTCAGGTTATTGATGGTTGTAGTTGTGGAAGCCGTTTTAACTGTAGAGTAACTCTGATCCTTCTGGTCCTTAAAAATAAAAACTCATCTGTATATATTCCTGAAAGAATGTGTGTCAATAACAAACTGCTGACTTGCTATTAGAGGACTCTTGAATCGAATACCACCTCTCAAAATAAAACTCTTCTATTGTGTCACGGCAGAGTTGCCATTTTGCAGAGTTTACAGCTTTCATTCTGTCTTAGCTCTTTGAGTTAATTAAATCAAATGTTCATTAATTTTAATTAATTATACTACATTTTCAATGATTTTAGTCAGCTCAAAATCCTCAATGGCTCAATGCCAGCAAAGTCTATTTATGGCTGTGGGTCTGTAAGACCAGGACTGAGGTAGTGCTGCTATAACTGCATTAAGTACAAACCCACATTTTTGGTACTAAAACTCGCATCTTCCCCTACTCAACCTAAACCTTAAGACCGCAGAAACATGGAACACAAGGCATCTGGTGTCAGTGGTGACTTCAGGACTGACAGAAGTGGAGCACAAATGTATGGATTAAGAAGGCAAAAAAGCAGTTTTGTGTTTAGACAATTTAATATTTGATTGTCCCCTAAGAGAGCATGCAAATGCAATGGCAATTATCCCAAGCGCTGCCTTAAATTGTTAGTAGTATAACAATTATAATAATACAATTATATTTATGAATGCTTTATGAAACTCCACCTGCTGATTTTACCTTAGGTTTTGATTATGGCCCATATTAATCATAAATAAATATTATTTTAAATATAAATAATTAATGTCAAGTAGTGAAAGTGGGGTATTTGTTAGGGTGATGACCAACATTACCTACAGCTGTGTCCACAGTGTGTTATTCTTACACCACCCTGCCATTTTTGATCTAAGAAGACCACCGTCATGTCAGAATTAGCTTCCACTGTCTCAAATCAGTAAAACTGAAGCTGAAAGGTTTCACATTTATTTTTGCAAACCTAATGGATTCTCTCATCACGCTTGAGTGGTTCAACGTGATAGGTTCGGCTCAACTGACATTGTGGGTGAATTGTTGGCAGCTTGTCTGAACCTGAAGTATGCTTATAGTGGTTGGGTGATCTTGAAATTAAAGAGCTGTAGTGAGAAATGCCTTTTCTGCTGAAAAGAGAGTGTTCTAGGAATTATAGGTCATCAAAAGGAAGTGCCTTACATTTTGACACTTTGAAAACATGAGGCTTGAAAGTAGCTGAGGTTCCATCAAGCAGTAACCTCTATCCCTGGCTTTCTTCACTTTAGGAAAGTCTGGAGTCTGCTCCAAAGATTATGGGCACTCTTTTAGATCACTGGCATTGATCATGGATTTCTTAATTTGAGAAATGTTTTTTAAAGGTTTAGTTAGTAAGCTGTTCTTTAAGTGACCCAGTTTGCCGAGTTACAATGTTGTTTTCACACTTGGAAAGTGGATCTATTCCAAATACTGCTTACGCCTGTGCAGCTTTGTGACAAAACCATTATTATTATAAAAATAACACCTGCTGCACAAACAAAAGAACAGGTGGTTGTTACATCTGTTTGATTTAACTAACTGTTTGCATACTATTGTATTAAATTGCTGGATATTATCATTAAACAGGGCTAGTTTTTTTCTCTATATACAGGCTACATGTATTAGTGGTTGAGCTGTAGGTTTCCTTGATATTTGAAAACTGAGTGTCTTGAGCTAAACAAATCCAATTCAAAGCAAAATTCACTTTCTGCCATTTTTACAAATCAGTAACTAGATTTTCAGAGAAGGAATCTTTCACATGTCTGTAGAAAACCAAAGCACAATCTGCAGAATAAATTGGTTCTAATGTGTAAAATGCTATTCTGTGTTTAATATAAATGATGAAGTGGTAACTTATTTTAACCATGCTTCTTGGATATTACAGAAGAAAAAAATGCTATAAGAATACAGGTAGTTTTGACTTTAAAACGTCCTGAGACAAGTTTTGTTAGCATGGAAATCAATGTGATTTGATGGTCCGATTGAAAAATAACGTCACCTCATTTAACAGGTTGAAGTCCTGCAGTACATCATACAGTAGCATGAGCATTGGCTCATCATCACATGCACATTATTGCCAAAGAAATGCAGAAATACTTTATCGCCTGTACATACTGTTTACAAAATACTTCCAAATGAAGGGATTCAGAACTATATACTGTACTGTACTTTGATAACAGAATGGAAATAAAATATTTCTGGCTAATATCCTTCCATGAAGGATATGAAGATGTTTACATCTACAGTATATGTATTTTTATAGAGCAGCATGGTGGCACAGTGATTCATATTGCTGCTTCACAGCACTTTGACCCTGGGTTCAATTCCCAGACTGCCATCTGTGTGGTGTCTTCCCTTGTTTGTGTGGGGTTTCCTCCAGGTGCCTTTAGTTTCCTTCCACAGTACAAAGACATGCTGGCAGGCTAATTGGCCCTGTTTATGAAAGTGTGCGTGTGTGCCTGTGTGCCCTGTGATGAACTGGTGTCTCGTCCAGGGTGTATCCTTGTGCCAGTTGCCTGCTGGGATAGGCTCTGGCTGTCTCTTGCAAATCTTTTATTGTATAAAGCAGTTAGAAGATGGGCGGATGTTTGTGAGCTCGCAGAAAAAGACATTTCATTGCCAGCAACTACTGCTGCACGCCGTATTGTTGTGCATTTGATAAATAAACTTTGACTGGACTATGTATTTGTATAATGTCAATAAAATATCTGCCTTAATTAATTGAACACATACTGTATATATACCCACATTTATAAGTAAGATTTTCTGAATATTTTCATTAACTTTTGTAATAATGACAATTACAGTATTAAACCCTTAACAACACCTTTATTTAATGTCACTCAGTCTAAGTCCTGCAGAGCCACCGGGTCAATTTAAGTTTTATTTGACTTTGATACATATCAAATAGTCAAGTTTGATCTTCCACATAAACTTTTTTCATAAAAAATAGTCATTTAAATTCCTCCGGCTATAGCCTACATCTAGCATACATTTTAAAATTATAATACATTTTCCCTGCTTGGAGCAGAAGGATGAGAGCAATGATATCTCTAAAAGAAATGCACCATGTGTCTTCAGCAATACAGTAAATTGCTGTTTGCATTTGCATGAAAAAAATGTAGAATGTACTGAACTGCTAAGGAGAAGCAAAGAAAATTTCTGCAGGTTTCTTTTTCAGTTCACTGATTTCAGAATGATAGATAAGGAAATACCTTTTCATAATATTTAATTTCATATTCAGTTTTGTTGTTGCTGGAATAGCTGGGCTCTCTCCACACAAGCGTGATACTCTTTTGTTCGATTTTGTCGGTGCGGATGTCGCTGATGAGGGAAGGGGCTGGAAAATAAGAGAGAAAGCATGTGAGAAATCAAAACTTTAGCACTGAACCAGAAAAAAAACTCACTAGTTAGCTGAATAAATGATACCAAAATATAAATATATGATTACACAAAACGTTACAAGCCATGGTTGGACACCATGACCATGTACTGTAGCATAAATACACACAGGGAATTCTAATCTGTCAGTCACGAAAAAATGACAACATGAATAAAGCCATCCAGTTCAAATGGGCTTTGATAGAATTTCAACTATGTACTGTAGCTAGGCAGAAGTTTGTTCTTTCATAAATATTGAAGCAAATTCCTTTAACATTTTTTTACAAGTTTTCTCTTGGGTTTATGTTAAAAGAGTGCCTCGTTAGAATTTAACTTTATTTTCCAAAATTTCATTCTGAAGTGTCTTTAAGATTCTCCATGCAATGGCTAGTGTCTGGCTTGTGTCAACATTTCCAGCTTCAAAGCAACGGGATGTTTGCTGAGATGTACAGTACAGTAAGTGTCCCAGTTTCAGTGATCAAAGCAATCGTAAAGTTTACCTTGGTTTACCTTAGTTAATTACACTCTGGATATACAGTATGATCCAGAATCAATCAACAGTCCCGGAACAGTACATAAAACAGGGAGTCAGAAGAGAAAGAAATATAAGAAAGGAGATAACTAGAGGAAAGGAGGAAAAGGAAGACAAGAGAAGAGGGAAAGTGAGAGCTCCTCATTTCAGATCACCTGGAAAAATCAGACTGGGGCTAAATATTTGAACTTTGTTAAGAGAGCTTGCTATTCTGCGATTTTTAAGGAACTCTGATTTCCCGTGTAAAGCATCCCTCGGTTAAAAACGGCCTCTCCTGGTTTGCATTCTAGAATAGAGAGATAGGTTCCTAT